CTGAGGATAGAACAAAGACCCAGAAAGCAAAATAAACTTAAGTCAGCAGTGGGGAAAAAGAAATTTGAGTCACCAAAGTTCAAGTGCACACTATCTCTAATTTTTTACTTCAACAGGCATACAAAGGCATGGTTCTTATTTTCAGTAATGGGGAGAGTAATGCTCTTTATCTCCTTATGTAAAAGGAACTACCATGATGAACAATAACTTTGGATGAGGGGAAAGACCTGAAATATTGCAAACAGGCAGCAGGAGATTCACAGCACGCACAGGCTTGTGTCTGAGAATCAAGCTTATTTCCACATCCCAAAACATCTGATAGTCTGGTCAGTAATACTCTGAAAAGAGCCATTCTTTCTCATTTTACTCACAAGAAACCCGATATTTCGATCTGACAAGGATTACTCACCAGGGTAGACTTTTTGTTAAAATCATGCCTTACAGCTATCATGGAAAGCCACTTGCTATCCTCAAAACACATATTATCTGATGTTATATTGCTTTATCTAAATAAAATAGGCAGTAAATCAAATTCATGAGTTGCAGCTGCTAATCAATATGCTTTAGTTGAAGACTACATTAAAATGCTGTTTCTTAGAGCTTCTTGTGGATTTCAGATGTGTCATTAAGGATAAAACTGATAAACTACTTCACTACTGCTGGTGTCTATAAAATTGAGTAACTTTGTGTCTTTTATTGTATTCTGAAATGAAAAATCAGAGCCAGCAGGTATTCACAATAAATTAGAGATGAAGGGGAAAGGTTAGCTTTTCAAAATGGTATAATTATATGGTGTCAAATATCATTCTATAACCAACCCTCTCTTGCTCCAGCTTTTAAAAGACATCTTAGAAAATACCAGGTTTGAGTTTCTTTGTTTAGTCCTACCAGATAGAATCCCAAGAGGCAGCAAAATGAGCTTCCAGTTTGTGGATGTATTTGAAACAGCCTGTCTTCTGATATCAACTATTTAAATGAGCCAAATTAAACATGGACTTTAAGGCTGAGCATCCAGCTGTGCTGGCCAGGTCAAGGCCATATGTCCTTCAGATTCTAGCCTTCATATGAGGATATCTTGCTCAGGGACAAGAGACTTGATATTTTAAATATAAAATTATCACTAGTGCCATTACAGTGAAGAGAGAACAAAAAAACCAACAAAACAAAAAAATACACCACCATCACCATAAAAACCTTCAAAAAACCCAAACAACAAAACCAAAAAATCAAAACCAAACCAAATGGAAAAACCTACAACACCTTCCCCCCCACCCCCCCACCAAAAAAAAGACAACCCAAAACCAACCCTTCAAATAGTGAAGACTTCTGTCTTCCTCCAAACTAAGGTCTCTTCTCCATTCTTCCAGTTCAGTTTAAGTCATACCCTGACATAACATCTGAGGTTAAAAGTCTTGAGGCTTTCAAGGCATTTATTCCAGCGTTTCCAATTTAGGATCATTTTCTGCAGGTGCTCCCTATAATCTTTGTTGAGGTCCAGACCGACCAACCTACAATAGCAGGGAATGATTCACCAGGCAACCACTCAGAGATTTATTTTTGGTTTTGGCAAGAGTAGGAATAAGCAAGCATATACTTTGCAAGTTTATTTGAAAAGTTCATTTTATTTGCTAAATATTTATCTTTTGCCCCAAACCAGCAATCCTTAGTATCTGGGATAATATTAAGAAAATTGCACTATAACTGACATAGCTGAGGTTCACCTCATCTGCTTATTTCTATTTATTTTGTCAATATGTCATTGTTAACTTTTAAAAATATACAACAAGTACTTTCTCAGTCACCCTATTTCCTCAGCTTACTTTCTGATCCATGATCTTTATAAAGATGAGAAAAATACCCATACTAAGAGTGCAAACTGCTTTTTAATAATCCAGTGGCCAGAAATGCACTATGGTTATAAAAGAGAAAGTATTGTCCAATACATAAGAAATTATTTCCATTTCAAGCGTTAAAAACAGTAATTCAGGTGCTCCATAAAGTGCCAGGTTTTTTTCCTGTAACAGCTTAATTATTTTACATGTGTACAGATCATTTACACTTTATTTGGTGCTCTGGCTGAGAAACAAGAGGACTATTTCTGTGCAACAGGTTATGGCCAAGAGGCCTTCTCCCTCCTCTGGCCCTGCTGCGTGGGTGAGCACTAAGCTGCAGGTACTGCTGTGCACAGAGGGCAGGGAAAGTGAGACGAGGCAGCCAGCCCTTTTTCTCATGGATCTAGTTTTTCAGTGGCTGCTATCATATTCATTGAAGCAAGGATTTGACTGAGTAGGAAGATAGAATTACGTCTCCTTCCCACAGCTCAAGGTCAGGACAAAGATGGAGGAGCGCTGAGAGGTATTTTATGTGCATTTATTGACTTTGCATTCTGACCAAATTTCCAACATGAAGTATCATAAGCAAGGATTAAGACATGGCTAATATTTAGTCACATATTAGCCAGTATTGATATTGAACCTTAGCAGCAGCCATTGGAACAGCACACTAGACTTCTCAAATAAAACCCAAATTGGATATTTCTTGTGCCTAGGTAAAGACTTGCAACCAACAAACCTGAGACATTTCCAAAGAGCAAACAGAGTTTCACTGTAGAACAAGGCAGCTTTGAGGTACAAAAGAGAGGAGGAAACTGTATTTTCACAACAGTTTAAGGATTAAAAATGCAGAAAAGCATCTACATAAGATATATAAAACACTAGTCTGCATTCATTCTCCAGCCTCTGGCTAGTTCTGAAGATCTGACCCTCACAGAACTCACACCAAACTAGATGCAGGAGTTGAGAAATGCATCAGTGCAATTTCTGCTTACTCGTTCTTCCATTTTGGGCACACACACATACAAAAACATTTCTTTGGACCTTAGCATACATAAACACAGGCAGACTACTTCTGCCCATAATAAACATGAAGAGTTTGCCCTCCAAAGGTAGTATGACAACCCTGGCAGAAAAGCCACCCCCTTCTGCCTCCTTCCCCCCGACTCCTATCCAGGGTGAACAGTAGATGGAATATGGTTTTTCATCATCCATCTCTCTGTTTCCAGCTTTTAAACTCTCCCCTTCTTTCTTACCCCCCTTTTCCAAGACCAGGTTTGCTCTGATTGCTTCTTCTCAAGAGAAGGATTTCAGATGTCCCTTGACTGAAGGGGCCTCCCATAAGAAAAGCACCTCTGAGGAGAAAGTTTAAGGATCTCCTCTCACCCCACCCCAGATCTTTTCTTGATCAGCATGGAGTCAGCAATATAAAAAGGTAGTCCAAATCCAGTACCTTGTTGTTTTACTACAGGAAATATAAAAATAATGTATCTACACACTGGGTGGAGGAAAAAAAAAAAAAAGATTTTATCAAAATAGATTTAATGCTACAGTCCCTTATGTCCTTGGGCTCCAGAGTCTGAAGGAGTGAATGACCAGTGAGCACCTCAGCAGCTACGTTGTCTGAGTTTATTGCACAGAAGCTTTCAAGGTTCATTACATATTATTGTGCACATTGAACCATGGGGCACTTGCCCAGCATCTAGTGCAACATTTCAGTGATTGTTAGTGGCTGGTTTAATCCATATTTTCAACTGGAACTCAGTTCTTATTTCCTTTCCAGTCACTTTTTATTTTAAATGGACCTCAAATGATTAGTTACAACCAAAGAAAATCATAACTGCATAGTACTTGACTGGAAGGAAATAATTTTCAGTGCCTGCCACTATGTAGTATCTTGTATTCAGAAAAAGTCTAAAACCATTTTAACAATATAAAGCATATTGAAAATGCATTTAAAATAAATAAGTCAGTTGTTGCTACATCACCTACTATCAAGAAATGTGTAATTGCCAAGTATTTTTAGTTGATTTTGCTCTGTAAAGGCACAACACCAGTACAAATCTGGCTTATATTTATTTGTCCAATAAAACATCCAAGAGCTCTTAGAGGAAGTGGATAACTACTCGAGTGAAAGCACATTATCTCACCATCAGAAGAAATCCTGGGACACTTAACCTTGCTTCAAAAGCCTCAGACCACTTCCAACCACAGTGGTAAACACTTCCAGTGGTGCCGAAGTCTATTTCCATATTAGAACTGCAACCCTGCTTGTGCTTTCCAGGGCTGGTCTCATCTCCCAAAAGAATGCTTACATCTTAACACACAATTTCTTCATTGGAACTTCATTATCCCAGTTATCACCAATTATGCAAAAATCATGTAACCCCTGTGAATTGCTAGACAACATGGGCCTCCCTCTGTAACAGAACTATGAGGGACCAGTCTCTGAAACACCTGCTTAGAGTACTACACAGTAAGAAGAGGGGGAATACCAGCATGGTCCTGCCTTTTCCATTTGTAAATGCAATGTGATGTGGGACATGGGTGAAGGCAAGAGCCTGCCCCTCACAATATCTCTCCATCCCGCGGGGGATGGAAGATGTGTTTGTGGCTAACAGCAGGACTGGCACACTTTCAGCACCACCGGAGGTCCTCAGCCCTGAAATTAGATAAGAGCACTTTGCTCCCCCCTTCCTTCGATAAGACAGCTTGTGAGATGAAAGCAGCAAAGCGCCTCCTCAGCTTGAGAGCCAGAAGGAACTGGGTCACAGGCCTCAGAGTCAGCACGTTGGCTCCTGGCAAGGGCTGCGGGAAGGTTCAGAGACCCCACCATCGGCCTTAGGATAGCACCTTTGAGCCTGCTCACCACAGTACAGAGAGTGGGGTGTTTATTTGTGGTTTTTTAAAAACACAGTCAGATCGTCCCATCATCCAGGGGTTTGGTATTGGCGGTGTTCATGTAACCCAGCGATTCCCTCGCCTGGCAGCGGTGCTGGGTTCCCCGCAGTGTCCGGTCAGGGTTTGGGAGGCCACTGCCTACACGTCACCCATGGGTCCAAGCCCAGCTGTGGGGAGTCACCCAGACTGCAGCAGACGCCGGCTGCCTGTCCCGCCAGCTCTCCGGCCACCCGTCCAGTGGCAGCTCCTCGGCAAGGTTCTCCTGGGCTACTCGGCCCCTTGGGCGGCATGGCCTGGGGCGCCGCCGCCGTCGAAGACCTCGGGGCTGTCGGCCAGCAGCGAGGTGCGCACCTTCCGCCGCTCCTTGAAGCGGCCCGAGTGGGACACTCGGAGGCTCCGCCGGTTGCCGACTCCGGTTCCCGCGGCGTCGCCGCTGCCGAAGGGAGGGTGCTGCTCCTCCCGGCCGTCGGGGCCGGGGGTGTCGGCGGGGGTCTCGCTGGCGACGGGGTGCGGCGGGGCTACCGCCGCTTCCTTGTGCTTCTTCTTGCTGGTCAGCGATTTCCACCAGGGCCCGGCCGAGCCCTTCACGCCGGCCCGAGGAGCGGCCGTGGCCGCGGCGCTGTCCGCCATCTCGGGCTCCTGCTGGGGGGAAGAGGGCGAAGACGGGTTGGCAGCCGGGCACACCTTCTCCCCACTCGGTCGGCGCCGGGACTCCTGTGCCCCAGCACCGGGGGACGGGCAGCGCTGCCGGGGAGCTGTGCCCGGCGCCCGGGAGCGGCCCGCGGGGACGGACGGCTCCTGCGGCGGCGGCCGGGCGGGCGCGGGGCGAGCGTTCTGCGCCCGGCGAGCGGCTCGGAAGCGCCGCCCGCCTCCGTGCGCGGCTCGCACAGCTCAGGTAAATGACGGCCCGGAGCCGGGCCGCGGCTCCCGCTGCCTGCACGCACCACCCCCCACACCCAGAAGTAGACCCGAGATCCGGTACCTCGGGGCTGCTGCCTCCCCGCGGGACGAGGCCGGGAGCCCGGCGCGTCCTGGGGCTCCTGCGATGGGGCCCCTTTCGCTCCCCCCTCCCTTCTTCCCTCCTGTCCCCGCCCCGCCGGCTCCCTGCGCAACAGGTACGGGAAGCGACACTGACCTGCGGCGCCGCCCGGCGCTGCGGGAGCGCTCCTGCCCCGGGGAAGCGCGGCCGCCGCCGCACGGCCCCGCGGTCCGGGAAGGAGGGCAGCGGCCGGCGGGGAGCGCGGCCGTGCGGGGCGGTGCGGAGCGGAGCGGAACGGAGCGGCAGCAGGTGCCGGCCGGCCCGGGGCTCGCCCCCGTGGGCGGAGCGGCGGCCCGGCCAGCCCCGGGGCCGGGCGGCTCCCGCTCACCTGCCCAGCTCCCGCGGGGTGGGGCGGAGGGGCCGCCCCGAGTCCGCGGGGCTGCGCGGAGGAGCGGCGGTGTCCCCTCCAGGGAGACCGGGCGGTGGAGAGACGGGGGAAGGGGCAGAGGAAGAGAAGGAGGAGCAGGCAGCCTCAGCGCAGGTGAGGCAGCGCCGTGAAATCCGGGGCTGCCGAGATGGATGCGGTGTTGCCACCGTGCGTGGCTGAAACAAAATATCACTGCGTTTGTTTGTGCACGTGATGGATGTGCGTGGGTGGGTATTTTAGGGCCTTGAAGAAAATAGAATTGTGGTTAACTGCCCTTTAAAAAATGAGTGGTGCTGTAGGTCATGCGATGTAGTCTGTTTACTTGTATTCGAGTTGAATTTGTATTGGGACTTTGACTTTCTGTGTGGTGATGGATATATGACCATATAAACGACTTTGTCTTTTTTCATTCGAAAAAATATTTGTTTGTGCCTCACCATGTGTTAGAAGTGATTATTTGTTCTTTGGAGAACTATGCCATGTAATATGTGTTTGATTCCTAATGCCCTTCCCATCAACAGTGAACCACTCAAGAATGTCTATGATGATGCAGAAGAGTGTGTGAAAACAGCATATTTCAGCCGCATCTTCTTTTGTGGATCAGCTTCTGCTACTTGCAGCTTCCCTGAATAGCCCATAAAGATAAGAGGTATGGAAATTGGTGAATGTGGGTTACTGAGGGAGCAGAGCCTGGGGCATGCACTTACATTACTCTGTAGATTGCCCTCTTCAAAGGAAAAGGCTTTTGGATAGGGAAGCATACACTTGAAAGTGTACACTCCAAATTGCCTAGCATATTAATTAAAATCAGCAAAAAAATTCTATGGAATAAAGCACAATCTTCCAGTGATAAAAGATGGCCTTTACATTCCCTCCTAACAAGTAAGCAACTAACATTTTCCAAGACACAAAGCACCAGGACATCAGTCTCTCTTGGGCCAAGGACAGTAGCAGACCACAGGGTCAAGTTTCTCCTTGTGACTGACCTACTGCTTTGCTACTTGTATCTGTAGAGAAAGAGAACACCAGCATCCTGAGACACCCATCTTGTGTCTCAGGAAAGTGCCTGGGAAAAAGGGAAATTTTGTCAAAATAAAGATAGTTTTTATTTATAAATGCTTTTTTCACAGAAAACATTGCTGGTTGTCTTTTATAGCTTTCACTCTGTGAATGGGCTTATACAAAACATTTAGTATTTATTTTATTTTGAACACCATACACCTAACTCTTAGCTCACAAAATGCCAAACTTACATTCAATCAGTGGGTTTTAATTTTCAGTTAAACCCATTTCAATGAGTCCTAGAATGAGAGATTTTCCTTTTTGACTGACAGCAAAGTGTACTGACAGCTTTCCAGTGTACTGACAGCAGAGTCTACTGAAAAGAGAGAGGCAGGTTGAGAAGCTTTGTAAGAGACATGGGAGTGGGAGGATGCTGCCTGCATGAGTCTGTGGTGGTGCAGGAGGACAGCAAAACCTGCTCTGCTTTTGAAAGTCACAACATGCTGTTCCACAAGACTGTCACTAAGGTTAGTGTTTATACCAAAACAACTCTGACAGTGAAAATGTGTGCTTCTCCCTTTCTTGCTGCAATAGTACTTGTTGCATTCTTTCAGTATACATGTATTTACAGTGTTTATTTAAACAGAAAAGTAAATAACATATTGCCTATTTAAATGCATGGAAGTTGGATAGCACATTCATTTAATAAAACTGCTGCAGTCAAATTCTGTCCTGTCTTTGCAGGAGGCCAGGATAAAAAGCAGTGGGGTTCTGTACTCCCAGCTAGGGTGGATGTGCAGCGTTGTAGCAGATGCTCCAGTACACTGCAAAATAAAATGGTACGGCCTTTTTTACATTATAATATGCTCCTTTTGTGTACAGTTGAACCATATTGATATAAGTTTCTTCATAATTCTTCAGGTTCTCCAAAGTTCAGAAATATCCTGGTATTTTCAAGACTTAGATTCTAAAAGACTGATTTTAATGTCAGTCCACAAACTATTATTTACAGCCCCTAATTGTTGTAGTGAATGAAAAAAATAGTGCTTCTTGCAGTTCCCACTGTCCTTTTCCCAAACTTTGCAGAGTCTACTGTGCTCATGTTGAAACTGGGCTCTGGAAATCTTGGATTGCCAAACCACACCCTTATCTCATTGTTCTGAGGGGACCCATCTCTACTGGCAGGACAAGAGAGGCACTGTCCACTGCAGACATCAGCCTTCCCAATGCCATGGAACCCTTTGGTTTCCAAATCTCTGATATTAAGTGCAGTTAAAATTATACCAAGGGGACTCCCAGAAGCATAACATGCACTAGTGAATATTGCTATCAGAACTTTCATTTACCCTGAAACCCCAGATCATCCAGCAATTATACTGGATATTTGAAACTTGGGTTTCTCAAATGCTGATGTTAAGGCCAAGAACATGTTCATGCCAACTGAAAAGAGAATGGCACTGGCACCTATAGATAGCAGAGCTCTGCTAAGGTCCATATTCACAGCAACATTTAATGTTTGTATCTTCAACTTTCAATTAAACTCTTAACCCTGCCCTGATATACAATTGAGCAATTGGCTCATAGAAAAAAAAATGCAACACTGATACCTGCTGGCACAAGTTGGCCCTTTAACATTCAGCAATAAAGCCAGTTCTTGGAACTCCTAAGTCTCAGAGCCTAAATGTTACATTAATTTAAACCAATGGACCTCTGTGCAAAGGAAAAGATCACACAAACAAATGTCTCCCATCTGTGTCAAGCTGCCAATTCAGAAGAAGCCAGCAGTAACTTAATTTCTTGTAGATTCAGATTTCCATGTGCTAGCAGCATCTCAAATCTTAGCATTCTCATAATAACCACAGGAAGGACTCAAACCATTTTATGATGGGCAAGAACATTTTTCCCTGTTGACACCAGGCTGCTGCTCAAGACTGTGGAACTGCAGATTTCATTACCAGTCTATGTCCGCCCTACCAAAAGAAAAAAAAAAAGAAAAAAAAATATTACCAGGGCATGGGTTTTAACCCTGCACCCAATGTATTTAGCCTATTAGTGGTGACTCCCTGGCATAATTTCAAATTTGGGCCTCTGTCTGTATGTGCGCTGGTCAGGCATGGTTTCAAGGCAGTGGGAGCAAAGGATTATTCCCCTTAAGCAGAATGGATGAAATTTAACAAATTTGTCACCCTCCCCAACTTTATTGCAACAGGGTTTGCACCCTCCAACACTTCAGTTCACAACCACTCATCATATAACAGTCTAGGACATACATTGCACCATAGCCTCTGGGTATGAAAGCAGCAGTTAGATGGGCTGAAACACAGCCCTTGCACAATTTTTGAATCAGTGCCTCTAGATAAAAATGAGTCTCAAAGGCCACAGGTGACACTGAGAGGACCTCATTTAAGTACAATGTAATATGAACAGGGCATGATTGCCTTGACTCCATTTTATTGGCTGAAGCAGATGTAGTTTTAAGTTTTTTGATCTTACCTCCAACACTAAGGCAGACAACATCCTTATTTACATGGGCCTTGTGAAGGTAGCTCTGTGAAGGGAACTAGTCCTGTAGCAAGTTGCTGGCTTAGTGCTAGTGCTCATTCTCATTTAATAGGAAGTTCAGCTGCAGGAATAAATCTGTCTCAGAACTCAACAGGTTCTGAAACTTTACCTAAAACACTATAAGGCCCAAAACTTCATCAAAACAGACTATAAACACAGCTTCTCAAATTTTCAGTTCCCAGCCAGACTCTGACACCAACCCTATACTTACATTTGTATGTCCAACAGCAGTCTGATTCTTTGAATCCCAAACTCTTAAAATTTGTCTTCTCTTTTACCCTTACAGTATCTGAAAATAAAACCAAGGTCCTATTCCTTCAGCAGATTGGAAAAATATGGATATATATGGTGATAATACCAGTACTCTTCCTAGTTCTGAAGGCCTTGCAAAAAAAGTCTGTTCATCCAATATCCCTATTCTTAACTGGGATGGGAATCCATGCACTGTATGGAAAGGCAGAGCTGATCATTAGTGATACCAACATGTTGCAGTTTTCACAACTTTGGGAACCACTCACTCATTAAGGCTTTAGATTTCCAAGGTCTGTCCCTAATTCCTACTTTAATTGTAATTGTGACACTCATGTCTGAAACAACAAAAACCCCACCATGAACAACAGCTCCTTATTGACATTATCCCTACAACACCATTCCTATTCCCAATACTGAAGGCTGTGCAGTTTGCATGATAAGTCTGGTTCTTCATTATTTGGATTACTAACTTAACTCTATTACCTATGGATGTTATGACCTAAGGAGCCCCGTCTCCTGAAGTTCTTGGGCAGCAGCATGTGGTAATTAATAGGATTTTTATGTACATTGGTCATCATTTGTGCCCTACAGTAGGGCAGAAATTAAGGCATCTTCAAATATGGCTGGCAGCAATTTATGCTCTTCAAGATCTAACTCTACTCCTCATTATAACAGTCCTTTTAGTGGTAGCAAATGGCTCATACTTTCAAGAAAAGAGAGAATATTTTGACTGGCACCTTGTCAGGCTCTGCAATGAAAGCAGCTTCCAGTGGCAACCTTGGTTTGTGCCATCCCCAAATCTGCTGCAAAATGAACCCTGACAGTTTCTCTACTTATAAGCAGCTGTTCATTTCTACTGTAGCTTGCAAAGCACTTGTTCCCTCTGACAAAAGATTTCTTCCTAACTGCAGTCCTTAAAACATCCTGCAATAATCCATGTCCTTCAGGCTTTGAATTCCCAGTCCTGGCACTACCTGTATCATCAGCATAATTATATTCAGAACACCATGCCTTTAGAGAAAGATAATGTAAAGTATGGCCCCATATAAGATCCACTGATGTCCTGAATCTGCAGGCCCTAGAGCACTCAGCAATAATCTTGGTTCCCTAAGGTTCAGATTCCTGAATCTTAACTGTTTTCTTTAATCAAGGAATTAATCTCTACAGCCAAAGACCATAAGGCATATTGATGCTCTCACTCTTATCTCTATTAGCCCTATAGTCTTTTCATTCCCTTTAGATAGCTTAGGGATAACAGTGTAATTCTGCTTTGAAGATCCAGTTGGATGGCATTCTTCTTGCCTAAGTGTTTGTGAACTACCTTCCTACTCAAAGAGTTTTTGTGCTTGTGGTCCCTGGTTATGAGTAGGGGGTTTATTGGCACTTCAATATTTTTCCTCTCTTTTCTGCAGAACTTCACTCTGTACTTGTCAATAAGAGAGATAAGATGGTCAGACTGGCTCCTGCAGGGGGGTTGCAGAGGAGTTAAACTAGATAGCCTTTAAAGGTCCCTTCCAACCCAAACTATTCTATGATTCTGTGATCCTATGATTCAGTCCATCTATTTATTATTCCAGGTATTTTCAGCATCTCTCCAAGGTCTCACTAAGCCCAGAGTTTAACCACACCTGCAATCCCTTCTCCCTCCAGTGTACTGGTTTTCCCAGTAATACACAGCCCAGGTCTGTCAAAAACCTTGTTTCAGAAGAGACCCCAAACCTGATACATTCCTTCCCAGAGTCTTGGGCTAAGTGCCCCTGCAGCACTGCCTCTGTCAATAAGACTCAAATGTTGTGTGAGGTTTGAGAATGTTATGTGGGGGAAAGTGTAGTCTTACCTCTTCTTTAGAAATAAAATGAATGTGGTTCCTATTCACCCACCTTTGTGCTGTGTTAGACCTGTTTTGTAGCTTAAACTGACCTCAGCTTGCAAAGCAGAGTTGAGAACAAAGCTCTGTCTTCTTTGTACTTTGTAACTTCATGTTAAAAAAAAGTTTTCCATACTATGCACTTTGTTTCTCTTTATTTCCCCTTCCCCCACAAACTTTTCTCCTTCCTCAGTAATTTCTACATCCTTTGTCCAATTCCAATAGTATTTGACAGCAGGAGAGAGATAATTAAGTTTCTCAGCAACTGGTGTCTGTGTGGAGGAGCCCTGAGCTGGTGTCTCATTTGAGGAAACCCTTTGACTGATCCTGTCCGTGTTCCCATGCCCTCTCAGGACATGTATGCTTTGGAGTCAGACTCTGAGCATGCTGCCTCGTCTCCAGCATGGTGGTGTCAAGAAACAATTCCCTTGCTCACTTCCCTGGTGAGTTCCAAATACTTAAACCTGACAGTAATGAGTCTCACAAAGAAGAGATTTCAACTGTTCCACAGCACTCTGGAAAGCTACCACCTTACAAACCATTAACATAACTTTGATGCAATGTTTCACTGATCGTGGCTAAGACACTTTATGCTTTATGGAAGGCAAGTTGTCTCCCCCCGGCTGCTGTGAGGGAGTACAGAGTGGCACCCAGAACATGGGGAAGGTTGAATGGCAGATGGGAATTGGGAGTGGGTGGCTGCAGGAGGGGACTTGCTGCTTCACCAAAGGCCTTCTCCAATAGCTGGAGGGGAACAAGGTTTCTGCTGAACACCTGGCTGCAGGCAGGATCCACTGCAGTCAGATACTGGTGTCTCACCTGCCCCCATGGTACAGAACTGCCTTCTACCTGAGATGAAATGACCTAGCCAGGAAGTTACATGGGCTCACACACAGCCTCCTGGAGCAACTTTCAAAGGACTCTTACTACTTGCTGCTAGTGCCTCATGTGAGATAAGTCATCATGCCCTTGCTGAATGCTTTGAAGCAAAAGGAAGGATTTGGTTTAATCCAGTCTGACCCATTTTTTCCTCCTGTGTACTGGATTATAGGTTTCCATTAAAGGTAAACATGATTTTTCTATTTTCTCAGCAGTCAGTTCTGCAGAGGGAAGTCTGCTGCCTTTTCACTTCCTCGAATGGTGAATCTGAAATAGTCTGACCTCAGCTGGGCCACTCAACCCCAGGTGCAGCAGTGATGGCCACAGCAAGTCCGACAGGAGATGAAGCAGACACAGCACAAGGTGGCTCTAATGAGGTGTGGAGGGGACAGGGGCTTTATCTCCGTGCTCAGTATGCATAGAGGGTGCCAGACATTGGTTGATCAGTTAGCCAAGTGAAATGTGAATAATTTTGTAGATGTTTGTGTTTTAAGTGCAGAATCATATTCATCCCTCTGTCCAACAGATTAGAAACTGCTTTCCAGACACTAAGCATAGGTGCTTCTAGGCACACTGCCTTGTACTGTCATCAAATTCTTAAGATGGGACATGTGTTGGAGATTCCAGATGGTGAGACAAGCTAAAGACACCTGTGTTCTACATTAAAAAAACAACTCATAATTGAACTGACCAGAAAAAAATAAAGAAAACCATTGTTAGTCAAATGTTTGTGTTCAAGTCTGTGGAAAAATACTCTGTTGGCATTGATTCTGGGATATTAATTAGATTGATGTTGGGATTCATTGCTTGCTTGAAGTTTTGCATAGAGGTGGTTCATGGTTCAGGGTGGTCTCTGGAAATAAGCGTGTGCATGTGCTTGGCTGTGGTAGTATGGGCAAACTAGTGCCAGTCTGAAACTGCGACATGCAGTAAAACTGTTCTAAATTTTTGAGCAGGAAAGTTTCCAGCAATGTCACAATGGTAATTAGCAATTGATTTTTGTTTGGCAGCTTGCCATGTAGTCAGTGACAGACACCAAAACTCTTTTAACACATTTAATGGGATTTTTCCTTCCATTTACACTATCATAAATTACAAAGCATATTTCACTTCACAAAATAAAACCATTTCCAGATCATTTTTATGACAGTATTAAGTAGTACGTAACCTACAACAAATAGTCCTGTACAAGGCAGGAGGATCTATGGAAGTATTGGGAACTCAGACTATTTAGCACTGGCTCTGCAATCTGGGTTAATCTATCTAGCCCTTAGTAATTTCTCTAGAAGACAACAAATTTACAGTCATACCCTCTACCTCTCTTCATTATCATAGTTACACATATTTTTCAATTTGAATAGAAACATGTGCTCCCTGAAATAATTCAGGAAACTGCATCACTGAGTTACCAAGCATATGATACAAATGATCAAGATGAGGGAGTATTAGAATTTTTTTGTACTGAAAATTGAGTTTGGTAGTAAAGTATGTTGATTTTTCTATGCTTGCAGAAACATTTCATGCTGAGAAACAGTTTTAACATTAGGAATAAGTTGCAGTTAGACTACGAACCCTGTAGGTCAATGTTTGTGAGGGGAGAAAAATATTAAAATTTGGTAATAATTAAATTTACCAGCTCCCACATGTCCTACACATTCTGTCTTTTTTTTTTTTTTTCTAACAAACCATCAGGAAACACATTCAAGATAAATACCTACAATTTTAGCAGATTTACTGTACATTTATAAATAGAGAAACATGACAAAACATAAGTCAATTTTTACAGAAAAACCAAATCCTTCATCATTCACCCAAAAAAGTGCTGACTTTCAACAAGGCCAGAAAATATCCAGTGTCCCAGCATCACGTAACTTATATATTACTGTAATCCAAGTAAATCTGGCATGTGAAACTGATACTACCACCAGGACTTAAAAAAAATTCTCAAGACCTTATTTTACATGGGAAAAAAAAAAAAAAAAGAGAATATGCTATATATTTTGGGAAATAGCAAATAGCTAAATGTATACAATCCTAGAATGCTAGTGCCTAAATGCAAAGAAACCTAAGGAAAGCTGAAATATGCCCAAGAAAGGTATTCACCTTTAAAACACTTGCAATGGAAGAGGTATGTCAGGATAATACTGCATTAGTGGCAATTGTTTTCAATATATCATAGCAAAAATGCAGGAAATAATTACGTGAAAATAATCAATGCACCGCATTGATTTATAGTTTGCTAAAATAAAATGCCATTCTTTCAGCTAGGTAAAGTAAAAATATCTTTATAATATAGGTTCTGTTTCACAATTGACATATATAATTACTTCTCATGAAGAAGGAAAGGTATAGGCATATACAAGTAACACTGATTAAGTACCTTTTTGCTTCTCTAGCCATATTAAAATACTTTTTGTGTTTCTTAATAAGTTAACAATAAAATTGTTTGAAACTTCTCAAAAGAAATATACATCTGAGGCAAGGCAAAAGATACAAGGTAAGAGGATTTTTTCTGACCTTCTTTTTCCCTTCTACAAAGAGGCATATGTCTATGAGACATAGGCTTTCCCTAAACATTTTGGCATCCATCTGCAACTTTGCAGAAATTGAAGTGCAGTCAAGGAACTCTTCCTTTCTGTTTAAAAAAATTGAAAGAAATGTTGTTTTTACTTCATACTAATTATATTAAAACAAATGGCTTTGAAGATATGCCTCTCTGACTAGAAGAGAACATCTTCATTTTCTATTAAAATCTGCACAATTAACTTCTGGTACCGCATGTCATTCAGTGTAGTAAGGGTACTGTCCTCTGGAGGTCTCATTAGAGTAGGTCCAAACACTATTCCCAGGTTTTCAGCATTCATAAAATTCTCCTTTTCATGCAAGGTAACCCTAAAATAGGAAAAGAAAAAAAGAAAGAAAGAAAGAAAGAAAGAAAGTAGTTGCTTACTTCCCAGAAAAAAAAAGAATATCTGCCTCTTTGTCTGTAGTCTTGTTTCACATCAAGCATTGGTATGTAGACATTTTTCATTATTCTTGATACAATAACTGTTTCACACATTGTTACTTTTCTGTATTGTTTCTATATTGTTACTTTTTCACAACAAGTACAATGCAGCTGCAGTGGGACTTTTACTGAGATTTTAGCGATTTTTACTGCCTTTAAACACCTCTCATGGGCCTCCTCAGTGATTTTTCCATGTGACTGTCTGTTAAGGTGTAAGAATTAGTGGCAATTGCTTTTTTAAAAGCATAATCATGATTTAAATAATGATGTATGGAGCAGTCCTCTATGCTACAGTAACTGCAGTTCTCTGGCAGGTTGTGCTTGGTGTGTATCACATAGGGGGTAAGGGTGTGCTCCACAGATACAGGCATGGATTTTCCTTAGACTACCAATGCTCCCAGACATGATTCCAGCCTGCAGGAACCCACCCCTTCGCATGGATGTTCTGCCTTGCTGGCTGCCTCAGGCCATCCAGGATCTGAGTAATTCCAACTCCTTGTTACACTTCAGGAGTAGGCTGAACCCTGCACCTGCCTGGAGAGGTGGCTTGCTTAAATCGGGTGCTCTAAATGCCATTTATCCTTGACAGAGAGCAGAGGCACTTCAAGGAAGAGCCCAGGTTGTTTTGCTTGCTGACATAGGTCATATAATGTAAATACAAGAATAGATGGACTGCTTGTGGCTGAAGCAAAGAAAGGTCAGCAAGGATTGGCCAAGCTGTAGAGAAATCATCCCTGTCTGGAAAATCAGGCCTACTGGAAAATGCAAGGTGTTCTCAAGGTTTCCCTCCAGGCAGCAGTGCTGGATCACATCAGTGTTGTCCTATTTGAGTGGCATATTGAGTTCAGTCCTGAGAGTGCTCTTGCACTGTGGTGTAGGACAACCACATTCCACTGATCCATCATGGTCCTTGATCAGTCATGGACCAGACATTTCCTGTGAGAAGTACAGCCTGGATAAGGTTTCACATTTCCTTCATACAATTACTCTGGCAGGGTGAAGCACGTCTAGTTTTGGAGACAGCTCTCCTGGCAACAGCTGAGGCCTTCCCTAGCCACGGCAATTCCCAGCTGGATTCACTGATGCTGTCACGGGAGCACAAAGTGGTTGAAATCAGAAGTACTCTGGTCTTCCCTTGTTTGCAAGGCACTCATATGACTTGGTTGTGCTTCTGCTGTCGTCACTCGGCAAAGAATGGCTGTCACAGAAAAATGCTGCTCCTCTTTGCTTTCAGGACAGAAATCCATTAGTGCCCCTACTCACAGATACATCCTCATCTTCTAGCACATATATTAGCTGTGCTTTGCAAAGAGCAAAGACAAACCAAGGCTATAAAGCTGAAGCCACCTCTACCTTGAAGCTGAAGCAAGTGTACGTCTGACACTCTGCTTTCCCTCTGTGCATGTATGCAGCACAGATGTTCAACAGCTGTGCAAAGCTACATGGATCTTACTAGCACCTCTATTCGGGAGTGTGGGGCTTGCTGCACAGCTGGGGTGAACACAGAGAAGATTCAGAGCTTGACTGCAATGTCGGTGTGGATGGAGTTGTATGTATTTCACCACAGGGGGGACTGCTCATGCTATTGCATTTCCTTCAATTTTGAGCAAAAAGTTATCTGGAAAGTAATTAACTGACCGACAAACTCATTTTTTGTTGCTGATGTTGTCCTCTGCTGGATTTTCCTGTGCTTTTAACAACAACTCTGGAGTTTCTTTTCAATTGAGAAACAGCAGTGGTGTAGATGCTGTGACCCTGCAGTCACAGCATAGACTCCCTTATACTGGTGCATGTTTTATCCATGCAGGAAGAGTCCTAGGGGGTTGAAATTGGAACTCTGTGTTTAATCTACAGAACAGCATAGTCTGAACCTTAATGATTCTTTCCTTTCACATTCAAATCTCTCCAACAGATTCTCCAGAGGAACTGATGTACACTTGATTTCCATGTAGACACCAAAAGCTACAATTTGGGAATGGAGAGGAAAGTCATTGCATGAGTTGCAAATATTTGAGAGAGGAAACCTAATTAGCACTTCAGACTCTTTCTGCCTCACCATTAGTTCAGCTCAACAGCTGAACCAAAGCCTGGACTGCAGTTCTTGAGAAGCAGGAAGGTTAGTCCATACATGTCTATTAAAAATTTGCTGCCACGATATGAAAGTATTGATTCTGTGTGCAGGTCACTTTTCTACAGCCTCCACAGGCCTTCTTAAAAGCTAATGTGAGTCATCATCAGTTGTCCGTGGATGTGTACTGACAAAGGTGGGTATTTGCACATCTCATTCCTGCAGAGTCCAGAGAAGCTCCTGCATGTCCAGGTAATGTCCCATCAAGGGGAAAAATTACTCAGTTGTAATGACCCGAACTGATTCAAAATGAAGAAAAGCCTCTCCATAATGAGAACCTGATAAAGCATGAAATTCACTTCACAAAAGTTCTCTGATGCAGCTTTATGTGAATTGAGGCCTTTTTAGGCTGGCATTAATAGTGCGGAATAGTGCCGATGAAACCCAGGAAGTACTCCACATTTACGGCTGTGTTGCAAATAGTGGGACAATTAAGAAGAGATCAGTGATTTTCTGAATAAAAGGTCAGGAGCTTTTTTCCTCCTTTTCCCCTTTTTCTGTTTTTTCCAAGTAGCAACCGATTTTAACCAGAGACAAGGAATAACTTGGCCAATATAGCCATAAATGAAGGCCTACTTTGAGTTACTTTG